TACCTCATCAGTGTGAACTAGGGCTTAAATGTGAAACAAAAACAGAAGCTGTCATCCATGAAAACTCAGTGTCAAAATAATCAGTAGATTATAGAGATGACCCCTGCTTCTGAATAACAAAAATAGTCTTTGACTCAAACTAACACTCCATTCACATCTGTGGGCTGAGGGAGAATTACGCAAAACCATGCGCATTCCTGCAGCACCCAAAACTTGTGTCCTTATTGTAGTTGTCCTGCAGCGCCGTTCATTCTTAAAGGCACTCCAGTGCACCTTGCAAAGTATCGTGTTTTAGCGCACCTGAATACATGGTAATAAAGTACCATATGTTTTGGTGGAGTACTTTAAAAGAAAGGTGCTTGCTCAATTATAGTTCATATGGGAGCAGATTCAAAAGAAAGCATGCACTAATGCACCTGCATAGGTGTGAACCAGTCCTTGTAGTCACTGTCCTTCACTTCGAATAACCAGTAAGGAGGCTTGGAGGGTAAGAGGGGAAAGACCTAGCTCAAATCTCTCAACAAAAGTTAAGATTTGCATGTGAATTCAACATCTGCTATTTCTTGTTCTACTGATCATTCTGACATTTTAGTTTTTTTTTCTCTTGTTTCATTTGTCTAGGTTTGTGACAGGTTTATTTGTTCCTTCACAAAGATTGGGTTAACATTTTTTGCATCATTCAAACTTTCAAAATGAATTTTTGGAACACACAGGGCTTGTTTTTATATTTATTTTATAATCTAACTGCCTGAACAATTTCTCTGATATAAGCAGAGTAATGAAGGTATTCTTGAACCAAATCCTACCACTCCCAATTTCTATGTTTCCTATTATGTACTATACTGTGTAACACGAGGACAGACTAACTGGGTTGATGCCCTTTTATTAAGTTTCTAAAGGTTTCCTGTAATGCATATTTGATGAGGTGTAACTGCAGGTGTCTAAATTTGTTGAACTAAGTCAATTATAACATCCGTTCCATTTACAAAAGACTGAGTTTTGCCAAATGGTAACTGTTCAGCTTGGATCAAGACTGACTAATGACATTTCATGCTGGAAAAGGGTTTCTATTGGCTTTCGTTCCTTTTGTTTTCCTTATGTTGGAAAAGGCAGGTATTTTAGTACAGCTGCTAAGTTTACAGTGAACTTTCTCTGACACCATAAAACCTACTTTATGTTTAATAGGCTAATATCATTTTACACACTGCAAATAGAAACTGAACCAGAAGATTTTTTTTTTTTTTTTTTAATTTATGTGTAACTTTGTATTCCTACAGTTGGACCTCATTCACTTGGCAAAAAAGTGTAGGGCAAGAATCCTGCAGCTGGATGTACGGTACAGGTGGATGTGGACAGTTATGGCCACTTCGCCTGTACACAGCAATGGCAGACTGACAGTGGTCGCAGATGTCCGCACTCCTCTATATATCCAACCACAAGAATCCACTGGATTCTTGCCTTCTAGTGAAATCTTCAGTGCACACAACCTAATCAGATCAATTTGATCTTATGATGGAGTCTCTACATAGTTGTTTTGGAACAGGTGAGCTGGCCATACACTGATCTAGTTTTTTTTTTTTTTCCAGCCTACAACCTGAACAGAAAAAAAAAGTAACCGATTCCTCTATCCACGCATACACTAACAGTGCAGTACTACCCCCAATCAACAGAGTCTTGGGTCTTGGACAACTCTCATCCAGACATGAACATATTCCAGAAGCTAGGCAGCAAGTGCTTCTCTAAAGAAAATACTTGTACCTTTTTTTTTTTATGAGACATTCATTTAGAGTGATTGTAAACCCTCACCTTGTAAAACAACCCATTCAGTTTAACGTAGAAATGAAAGGCAAAACAGATTTGTATAGATATAAAAATACACAATATACACCTTCCTTTTTTTTTTTTTTTTTTTTTTTTTTTTTCAAAAAAAAAAAAATTCAGCTGAATAAGAGCTAGGGGAGGAGAAACAGTAGCTCACCAATCTTCCCAGTGAAAGGCTGTGCAAGAAGGGGGGAGGGGAGTGTTGCGACAAGCCTGACCATTGGAGGAGAGCAGTCTGAGTTTCCAGCACAGCTAGAGAACAGACCACGCTGTGCTCTCCTGCCTAGTGTAATCAGTTTTTAATAGGAAAGCAGAGGGACTGGTGGGAACACCAGGGATTTTTCACACAAAGGAAGCAATACAAAGAGAACTGGATGCTTTTTCATACAAGTACATGGTACAGCAGGAACATATCAGGAATATGAAATGTTGGGTTTACATGTTCTTTAAGCTTGCATCCACCAATGGGTAAGTCCACAAGAAGAATATTGGGGAATTGGAGAAAACACAAAGAAGGGTAACTAAACTGATAAGAGTCATGAAGGACCTCGGCTATGAGGAAAGATGAGGTGAAATAAATGTATACTCTCAAGCGACTGAGGGGGGATATGAGCTCCATGTATGAATACAGAAGTGGTTCATATAGTATACTTGCTGCAAAATTCTTCACTTTAAGAACAAGTTACAAGGAGCACTTTTTACATCTGGAGGAAAAGAGATTTAACCGTCACAAACAGAACGGCTTCTTCACAGTAAGATCTGGCTCACACACCTGTTGCAATCTGCTGCGGGGGGAAAAAAAAGTCCCTGACCCTTCACATGTATGCATTTTCAGCCACTGCATCTTTATAAACATGTCTCATAGGAAACCGTATTAAAGGGACTGTAGTGCATTTCTGCAAAACCACTAAAAAGTACATAGGTGTGAACCAGGCCTAAGAGTTTTGTGAAAATGTAGAATAGACTCCCTCAAGAAATAGTTCTGACCAGCTAAGTGGATTGTTTTAAAAAAAATAACTGATTGCATTCCTAAATGCACAAAATATAACTGGATATTAATATTTAAAGGTAAAATCACCAAAGATTAATTCCACAAGTATCAAATTGCCTTCAGTGGATCAGGAAGGAATTTGGGTATAGAGTTCTGTATGTGGAGGTTTTTATATGTTCTGTTATTTTTTCTGTTGGTTGTGCTAGATGGGAAATTATGTAACTATATAAGAGGGTGAGATTGATGGACTACAGTTTTATTGTTGAAATTTCAGTTGAAGTAATAATAAATAAAACACAGTTTACAAATATATACATTATAGTAACCCTGCGTTACTGTATTCAGTGTACATAAATACCTTAAACATGTGTTGCACACTTTAACTGGAGATATTCAGAGAGCAGCAAATAATTATAGACAGCACACATAATAATGTGTAAAAAAAAAAAAAAAAGTGAAAATCAAACAATATAACACCTGAAACAATAGTATGTATCCCTATGTGCAATCTTTAATAGAAATAAATATGCCAACGTGTATCACTTAGTACTCCAGGTGAAATCCCATCACCTACTAGGCTAGAGCTCCCGGGATCACAATAGCAACCTGTGTAAGGCCTCATTTGCACAGGCGTACCCATCCATAAACCCGTGCAAATCGCTGTCTTTGCCTGTGTGAGATGCACAAGTGTTCATGTATCCATGCGCAGGCAGACCCATTCATGTCTATTGGGACACAGCTGTTGATTCTAGTTTGACAGCCGTGTGGGTGGGTGCCCCTGAACATACACTGGGGTTAATTTACTAAAACTGGAGAGGGCAAAATCTGGTGCAGCTGTGCATGGTAACCAATCGGCTTCTAACTTCAGCTTGTCTAATTTAAAGTGGAGCTCCACCCAAAAGGGGACGTTCCGCTTTAAGTCTTTGTCCCCCACTCCCCATTAAGGATTGGCACCTTTTGGGGAGCGGAGGGGGGAGCAGTAACCCAAATTTGACAGGTACCCGCTCCCATTTCCACTGTGATCGCCTTTGGGACACATGACCGGTCCCAGAAGACTACGGGGACATTCACAAAGTGCAGCGCTTCTCGCGCATGTGCAGTGGGCACCCAGCTGTGAAGCCGCAAATTGTCACAGCCGGGTGCCCACACTGAAGATACCGATGCCAGGAAGAGAAGACAGCCGGTGAAACCAGCCGTAGTGAAGACATCGCTGGATCGTGGGACAGGTCAGTGACTGTATTTTAAAAGTCAGCAGCTGCAGTTTTTGTAGCTACTGACTTTTATTTTTTTTTCAACTGGATCTCCGCTTTCAGCTTTCACAAAAACTGGAAGCTGATTGGTCTCTTTGCAGAAATGCATCATATTTTGCACTCTCCAGTTTTAGTAAATCAACACTATTGTCTGTGTTTGCAAATGCACATTTGTCACATTGGGACCGGTGGCGGCGTCCCAGTAGACCCGAATAAAACTGTCAGCACATGGATGCATGGAACACTGTGCACTCCATGGTGACACAGACAGCCCTTCGCACAGTGCACAGATAGGTATGCCCTTGTGAATTAGGCCTAAAGGTAAGTCAAAATGTTCTTTATAATCTCAATGGAGTCAAACTTTGATAAAGTTCAGGTGATGAAATCCAGGACTTGGATACATGTTGGTATGTGACCGATTCTACGGGAGACATTGGAGACCTGCTGTTTTTGCCTTGTGGTTTTTTTTTTTTTGTTTGTTTGTTTTTATAATAATCGAGATCTAATAAGCTATGGGAAACCCCTTAACACTTTCCTGAGCATTGCATCCCTACATGCTGCTGACTTGTCAGTGGGATATTTATCCATACTGCATTTGAAACCATGAAGGGATGCAGGTTTTATTCCATGTAGTGAGCAGTGAATATTGACTTGCCTTTAGACAGGTGGTCATTCTGACACAGTGGGGTTTATTTACTAAAGCTGGAGAGTCCAAAATCAGACTCACTTCTGCATAGAAACCAATCAGCTTCCAGGTTTCATTGCCAAAGCTTCATTGAACAAGCTGAGGTTAGAAGCTGATTGGTTTCTATGCAGAAAGGAGTCTGATTTTGGACTCTCCAGCTTTAGTAAATAAACCCCAGTGAGTCATATATGTGTGAGGAATTGTTTCCATTGTTTATACTGTACATGCCCAAATCATGTTTTATTTTTTTCAGATCGCTTTGCTTGATGTGGATATCTGTGGACCATCTATTCCAAAGATTATGGGTCTAGAAGGAGAACAGGTAATTTAAATATCTTTCTTCATTGGTTAGTTTTTTGGCCAGTTGAAGTAAATGTTACTACTGTTTTATTATATCACAACCATCTCACATCTTGCTGTATAAAGTATATGTATGCATAGAGCTGCATGGATATAGTTGGGGCCAGGGGTGGACTGACAACTCATTGGGCCCCCGGGCAATAGGGGATCATGGGGCCCCTGTGTCCTTGCCCAAACTCAAAAAAGCCTATGAAAAAGGTACCAGGGGCATCTCATGGGGCCCCCTACTGACCCCGGTTGGGGCTCCTTCAGAGGTTGATATGGGTACTTTGAGTAGTGATGGATTGATCTCCTGCATGACAGTAGCTTCATAGATGTCATGGTCACTCAGCAGAACCATTGGTGTGTGTCCAATGTAACTTCTCTTCTCTTCCATCAGGTGAGCAACCAATGACCTTGACATTCTTCTCACTGACCACAAGTGCAATGAAGTAATATGCTTCTAACAGTACAGTGTTTTCTGAAAGTTCAGTTCAGTAATCAAAACATGCTCACCTTGTAATGCTGAGTAACACTATTCAATTCACTACGTACTGAATATCAACTACTGTGCAAGACCCCAGCCTTCCTCCTGCTGTGCTGCGCATTGGTGGAACTCCAAGTTGTGAGAAATGACATTTAATGAAATTATCAGATCAGCCATTGTCCTGATGTTCACTGAGTATATTATGTAAACCTAACCTGTGACCATTTGGACACCTTGAAACTGCAGCCTATCAGCTAAGTGATGACACTGTCTCATGATAGTATCAGGTCTTACTGATTAGCTGCAGTTCTAGGGTGTCTGAATGAAACATTGTGTTTACACATTGCACTGAACTGCAGGATTCGCAGCTGTTTCATTCTTTTGGACCCAGGCTGTTCAAGTAGTAGCATCTACAAAAATCCTGCTGGGGATGCTCCTCTTAGATGCTGAGCTCCTTCTCCCCTGTCCAGCTCTATGGTCCTGACTCTTGTTTCATTGGATCTGTAGATTAGGTATACTGTATACATATACTGTATACTGCAGAGAACCCGCCGCCCATCACATGCATATGGTGACCAGGTGACAGACAGGCTGTAATGCTGCCTTGGCCTGAGCCCTAGTGGGGATAGTCCAGATACTTTCCCTTGTGTTTGGTTTGTGGCTGGGGGAGTGGAAGTGCTGTGCCCACCATTCCTTTCACAGGGATGCGCAAATTAGGACATGCAGCTCCAGGTGCTGGGCAGGTTTTTTTTTTTTTTTTTTTTTTTTTTTAATTTAACCCTGCTTGGCTAGCAGCAATCCTGCTTTTCCAGGTAGGGGGCATGTTTACCTGTCACCTGGGCTGTGCTGTCATTTGTTCCAGCAAATGCTGATCACTGGGTCCTGGCCAATGATTTATGACCGGAATCTGATGATCAGCAGAGCGAATGATAGGAGAGAGCCCTGTGTTGTTTACCAACACAGGGCTCTCTACAGAGAGCAGCAATGTGCCAGCTTCTGTCTCAGTATGTTAACTGAGTGCTGTTTTCACTAAGCAATGTACCGGTTTTTATCCCCTAACATTAACCTAAGCTGTGCTTTTTATTATAAGAGCAAGTAGATTGTCAAGAGGGACAAGTAGATTGTGGCCCTGATTTAGTCCCTTGGCCAAGTAGTTTTTTTTTTTTTTTTTTTTAAATTCCACACCCCTGAGTTTAGCTAAGGACAGCCCACAACAGGGCTTGGGTGCAGAGTGCATTTCTTGCAGATCAAATATATTTTTCTGTACTGGATCTTTAAAGGGAGAAAACAGGCAGAAATGTGCATATAATGCAGGGGTGTACTGCATGTTTTTTTGGTTTTGTTTTTTATCTGCCCTGACAGACATTTTAAATCTACATAATGAATACCATGTTTTACTATATGGTAATTACATATTTGACTTTGGCAAAGTTCTCTTGGACTAAATACATGAACTATTGTTACTTTAAGTTCTGCCACTAGATGGCAGCAGCTCCTTTTGAAAAATATAGAAATGATTCATTAGCATGTAGAATCTTTGATGGACTTCTCAGTTACGATTATGTAAAGTTTTTTTACAACTATATTTTAATCTGGAGAATATATTGTATGAGTATTGTCTAAAAGAAATACCTTGTATTAGTGTTTTGGCAGTTTCAACATGATATCATCTGGTATACTTTTTAATTGTGTGGTGTCCATTTTCAGCATTGAAGTTGCATGCATTAGGAAAACGTGCAGTATGAGCTGTCAATATTACACACAGTATTGTTATAAGCAAAGAAAACCACACACAAGGGTGGATTTACTTAAATTGAAAAGTGCCAAAGTTGAATAAAGACACTGGTCCATCCAGTTCAATATCCCACTGAAGTGAGTACAACCCTCACATTTTTGGAAATATTTTATTATATCTTTTCATGTGACAACACTGAAGAAATGACACTTTGCTACAATGTAAAATAGTCAGTGTACAGCTTGTATAACAGTGTAAATTTGCTGTCCCCCTCAAAATAACTCAACACAGCCATTAATGTCTAAACCGCTGGCAACAAAAGTGAGTACACCCTTAAGTGAAAATGTCCAAATTGGGCCCAATTATCCATTTTCGCTCCCTGATGTCATGTGACTGCTTAGTGTTACAAAGTCTCAGGTGTGAATGGGGAGCAGGTGTGTTAAATTTGCTGTTATCGCTCTCACTCTCTCATACTGGTCACTGGAAGTTCAACATGGCACCTCATGAACTCTCTGAGGATCTGAAAAAAAGAATTGTTGGTCTACATAGAGATGGCCTAGGCTATAAGAAGATTGGCAAGACCCTGAAACTGAGCTGCAGCACGGTGGCCGAGACCATACAGCGGTTTAACAGGACAGGTTCCACTCAGAACAGGCCTCGCCATGATCGACCAAAGAAGTTGAGTGCACGTGCTCAGCGTCATATCCAAAGGTTGTCTTTGGGAAATGGACGTATGAGTGCTGCTAGCATTGTTGCAGAGGTTGAAGGGGTGAGGGTCAGCCTGTCAGTGCTCAGACCAAACGCTGCACACTGCATCAAATTGGTCTGCATGGCTGTCATCCCAGAAGGAAGCCTCTTTTAAAGATGATGCACAAGAAAGCCTGCAAACAGTTTGCTGAACACAAGCAGATGAAGGACATGGATTACTGGAACCATATATTGTGGTCTGATGAGACCAAGATAAACTTATTTGGTTCAGATTGTGTCAAGCGTGTGTGGCCGCAACCACGTGAGGAGTACAAAGACAAGTGTGTCTTCCCTGCAATCAAGCATGGTGGTGGGAGTGTCATGGTCTGGGGCTGCATGAGTGCTTCTGGCACTGGGTAGCTACAGTTCATTGAAGGAACCATGAATGCCAACATGTACTGTAACATACTGAAGCAGAACATGATCCCCTCCTTTCAGAGACTGGGCCGCAGGGCGGTATTCCAACATAACGACCCCAAACACACCTCCAAGACGACCACTGCCTTGCTATAGAAGCTGAAGGTAAAGGTGATGGATTGGCCAAGCATGTCTCCAGACCTAAACCCTATTGAGCATCTGTGGAGCATCCTCAAATGGAAGGTGGAGGAATGAAAGTTCTGTAACATCCATCAGCTCCATGATGTCGTCATGGAGGAGTGGAAGAAGACTCCAGTGGCAACCTGTGAAGCTCTGGTGAACTCCATTCCAAAGAGGTTTAAGGCAGTGCTGGAAAATAATGGTGGCCACACAGATATTGACACTTTGAGCCCAATATGGACATTTTCACTTAGTTGTGTTCTCACTTTTGTTGCCAGCGGTTTAGACATTAATGGCTGTGTGTTGAGATATTTTGAAGGGACAGTGAATTTACACTGTTATACAAGCACTCACTACTTTACATTGAAAAGATATAATTAAAAATTTACAAAAATGTGTGGGCTATACTCACGTGTGTGGTGTGTATATGTATGTATGTACAGTTGTGTTCAAAATAATAGCAGTGTGTTGAAAAAAGTGAATAAAGCTCAAAATCCTTCTAATAGCTTTTATTTCCATACACACAAATGCATTGGGAACACTACACATTCTTTTCCAAATCAAAACATGCAGAAAAATATATCAAATTTGTGTTGTTCCTCTAAAAAAAATTGAAGAAAAGTGAATATTAGACTGTTCAAAAAAATAGCAGTGTTTGTATTCTTCTTTACAAACTCAAACATTCACTATATAAACTGAAAAATGTTTGAAGATTTTGCTTTCCTTTGAATCACTTAATGAATATTTAGTTGTATAACCACTGTTTCTGAGAACTGCTGTACATCTGTGTTGCATGGAGTCAACCAACTTCTGGCACCTGTGAACAGGTATTCCAGCCCAGGCTGATTGGACTACATTCCACAGTTCTTCTCTATTTCTTGGTTTTGCCTCAGAAACTGCATTTTTGATGTCACCCCACAAGCTTTCTGTTGGATTAAGATCCGGGGATTGGACTGGCCACTCCATAACGTCAATCTTGTTGGTCTGGAACCAAGATGTTGCACGTTTACTGGTGTGTTTGGGGTCGTTGTCTTGTTGGAACACCCATTTTCAAGGGCATTTCCTCTTCAGCATAGGGCAGCATGACCTCTTCATGTTATCTGATGTATTCAAACTGATCCCTGGTATGCGATAAATAGGCCCAACACCGTAGTATGAGAAACATCCCCATATCATGATGCTTGCGCAACCATGCTTCACTGTCTTCACAGTGTACTGTGGCTTGAATTCAGTGTTTGGGGGTCGTCTGATAAACTGTCTCCGGCCACTAGACCCAAAAAGAACAATCTTACTTTCATCAGTCCACAAAATGTTGCGCCATTTCTCTTTAGGCCAGTCAATGTGCTCTTTGGCAAATTGTAACCTCTTCAGCACGTCTTTTTTTCAACAGTGGGACTTTGCGGGGGCTTCTTGCAGATATCTTGGCTTCACGTAGGCGTCTTCTAATTGTAACAGTACTCACAGGTAACTTTAGACCTTCTTTGATCTTCCTGGAGCTGATTGTTGGCTGAGTCCTTGCCATTTTGGCTATTCTTCTATCCATTTGAATGGTAGTTTTTCGCTTTCTTCCACGTCTTTCAGGTTTTGGTTGCCATTTTAAAGCATTTGCGATCATTTGAGCTGAGCAGACTATAATTTTCTGCACTTCTTTATATGTTTTCCCCTCTCCAATCAACTTTTAATCAAGGTACGCTGTTCTTCTGAACAATGTCTGAAACGACCCATTTTCCTCAGAATTTCAGAGAGAAATGCACTGTAACCAGCATGTACAACATTTGCTGCCTTCCTTAAATAAGGGCAATAATTGCCACCTGTTTTTCAAAGAATGAATGACCTCACTAATAGAACTCCACACTGCTATTATTTTGAACATGCCCCTTTCAATTAGTGATTCAATTACACAGAATCAGCAGCATGCATGTCATGACTGTTGGTCTGTTGGATTTCTATTACTCTACTACACCTGCTAGTAAATTATTTGCCATGTAGAAATATCATTTCTACCAAAAACAGTGATTGATCAGGTTGGTGATGTCTGACTGCTATTATTTTGTATACACACACACACTCACACACTATATTGCCAAATGTATTGAGAAACCCCTCCAAATCATTGGATTCAGGTGTTCCAATCACCTCCATGGCCACAGGTGAATAAAATCAAGCACCTAGGCATGCAGAATTCTTCAAACATCTGTGAAAAAATGGATCACTCTCAGGAGCTCAATGAGTTTAAGTGTGGTAACGTGATAGGTTGCCACCTGTTCAGTAAGCCCATCCGTGAAATTTCCTTGCTACTAAATATTCCACAGTCAATTGTTAATGGTATTATAACAAAGTGGAAGCAACTGGGAACAACAGCAACTCAGCCACAAAGTTGTTGGCCATATAAAACGACAGAGCAGGGTCAGCGCAGGGTGAAGCGCACAGTGCACAGAAGTCGCTAACTGTCTACAGAGGCAATAGATAAAGACCTCCAAACTTTTGTGTGGTCTTCAAATAAGCACAGCAACAGTGCATAGAGAGCTTCATGGAATGGGTTTTTCATGGCCGAGCAGCTGCATCTAAGCCTTACATCACCAAATGCAATGCAAAGCGTCGGATGCAGTGGTGTAAAGCACTCCAACAGTGGACTCTAGAGCAGTGGAGAAGTGTTCTCTGGAGTGAAGAATCACGCTTCTATCTGGCAATCCGATGGACTTTTCTGGTTTTAGTGGTTGCCAGGAGAACGGTACTTGCCTGACTCCTTTGTGCCAAGTGTAAAATTTGGTGGAGGGGGGATTATGGTGTGGGGTTTTTTTTTTTTTTTTTTTTTAGAGGTTGGGCTTGGCTCTTTAGTTCCAGTGAAGGGAACTCTTAAGGTGTCAGCTTTCCATTTTGGACAATTTCATACTCCCAACTTTGTGGGAACAGATTGGGGATGGCCCCTTCTTGTTCCAACCTTACTGCACACCGGTGCATAAAGCAAGGTCCATAAAGACATGGATGAGCGAGTTTGGGGTGGAGGAACTTGACTGGCCTTCACAGAGTCCTGACCTCAACCAGATACAACATCTTTGGAATGAATTAGAGCGGAGACTGCGAGCCAGGCCTTCTCGTCCAACATCAGTACCTGACCTCACAAATGCACTTCTGAAAGAATGGTCAAACATTACCATAGACACACTTCTAAACCTTGGAGACAGCCTTCCCAAAAGAGTTGGAGCTGTTATAGCTGCAAGGGTTTGGGGCAACTCAGTATTGAACCTTACGGACCAAGACTGGGATGCCATTAAAGCAGAGCTTGACAATTCCCGGGCACCAGGTCTCCATGGAGACTAGAAAATATGGCCTTGCGCCCGGGCTGTTGTCAGGCCCAGTGATGTAGCATAGGGGAGTGCAGCTAGGCGCAACACTGCCAGGCAGCCTGCCGGCGTTACTGGTGTGTGAGGCTGGGGGGTAGGGAGGAGTGGTGCTGTGTGGGTGGAGATCGGCGGTAATGTGAAGGGTGGGTTAGGGGAGATTTGGGGCTATAGAGTAGTAGGAGGAGCGGAGCTGGCAGGTAGTGTCCCCTGTGCGACTCTCCGTGACACCCGCCACTCTGGGGAGACTCTCAGCCTCACCTCGGAGCAGGAACTGGCGGCGTGACAGTGCAGCTTCCTCAGTGTCCCATCAGTGCAGCTGCATCAGAGTCCCATCAGTGCAGCCTCATAAGTGGCCTCATCAGTGCACCATTAGTGCAGCCTCATCCGTCCCCCCATCAGTGCAGCCTCATCACCACACATCAATGAAGAAAAATGACTTATTTGAAGAAAGTTTTTTTTTTTTTTAATTTTCAGTCTTTTCTTTATTTAGTAACAAAAACCCCAGTGGTGATTAAATACGACTAAAAGAAAGCTCTATCTGTCTCAAAAAAAGATAAAAAATGAATTTGGGTACAGTGTTGCATGACCACACAATTGACCTTTACCCTCGGTTCACATCTGTGCAGGTGTTGCCGCTGTGGGACTCACACAGAGGAATGCGGGACCCGCCTAATTCTAATGGCACACCATCTGCACTGGAAATTGCAACTGTACTGTATGGGCTGCGATTTCCAAAGTAGTGCAGGGACTTCTTCCCTTGGAATGGGCTCTCGTGCCCTCGCAAATCGCAACCTGCACGACTGCACAGGTGTGAACCAGGGCTTAAAGTGTGACAGCTCTGAAAGTTGAAAATTGGCCTGGTCAGGAAGGAGGTGAAAGTAACCAGTAGGCAAGTGGTTAAAAAAAACTGGCTCCTAACTTTTTTAGCTGGCTTCTAGATTCAAAGCAAATTTGTTAAGCTGTGCTTTAAAGTTCATGTGCGTGTAAAGGCAGGCGTCCCAATACTTTTGGCAATATAGTGTTGCAGGCAGGGACACACATGCAGTGTCAGGGCAGGAAGACATGCGCAGTACCAGGACACACACACAGGCAGACAAATGCGCAATGTCAGGGCAGGCAAACAAGCATTGCCATTATTACGTTATTGCCATGGTACACTTTGAAAATATATGGAGAACTTACTTCAGCAACTGACATTGAAAGCCTGGCATAAAATAAGTTCTAACAGTCATGTAGAAGGATGGGGGAGTCTCTCTTTCAGGGTCTCAAAATTCTGAAAAAGGCTTGGCAGACAAGACCAGCCCTTCCCCACTAAAAATAGAGGAATAGTTTGTCTGTTGAGTGTCACTTTAATACAGAACCACAAGAAGGGTATATTGGACTTAAATCATTCTGTGAATATTTTATTTATCCTAGGTACATCAAAGTGGCTCTGGGTGGTCTCCAGTTGTAAGTATTTGTACATTTATAGTTGTTCTATTTACTAGCAAAAGTGCGCCTGTTCCTGATGGAAGTTTCTTAGAAGGCATCATGTGAAGGAGAGGAATGTGAATGACATGACAGCAAACAGTATGTGTAGGAAAGAAGTGAGGATATGACATGGGGCAGTGCAGAGAGCATGAAGGTGGACAGTAAAAGTGCTGGAGCTATGACAGGGGGAGAGTATGTGCAGGGGAGGAGTGCAAAAAGGGTATGCTGATGGCCAGTATGTGCAAGTGAAGAGTGTGGAGAGTAATCCCAGCTCAGAATGTGCAGAGATAGGAGTGTAGAGGATATGATGGGGTGGTCTGTGCAGGAAAGAAGTGTGGAGGGTATTGTAGCAGGCAATATGTGCAGGATATGCTTGTTGATTTGAATGTAGGTAGTATGGGTAAGGGTAAGACGGTGGTCAGTATGTACAAAAGAGAAGTCCACAGGGAAGGATGGCATGCAGTAAAGAAGATTGTGGCAGTTATGACGGCAGGCAGATCTCACTGGTTTGGAGGCAGGAATCCCTCATGTTAGCAACACTTGGCTTTAATACTTTATTATTAATATTACACAGGATTTATATAGCGCCAACAGTTTGCTCAGAGCTTTACAATATAACGGGAGACAATACAGCAACAATACAGTTCAATACAAGAGGGATAGCAGGGCCCTGCTCCTTGGAGCTTACAATCTAGGAATGTGATATGATGTGTGTTAGGATAGAATGTGAACTGGTGGGCAATCTTAAGGTTTCCTTTTGGTATTATTTCAGTATGTAGAAGACAACCTTGCTGTGATGTCTGTTGGATTCTTGCTTGGCAGTCCAGATGATGCAGTAATATGGAGAGGTCCTAAGAAGAATGGTTTGTATTGGCTGCAATATGAATCTGCAGAATTAAATCTTCATATATTATTACAGGGATTGAGCTTTTATCCATGGGTCTTATTTGTGAATGTTGTGTGGGACCAACACATGTAAGTTATAATTTTGCTGTAAGCTTCTTTTATTGCTTGCAGAGATCTTCTTTTAAAAAAACCTCAAAATTAATTATATTATAGTTTAATATTCTAACAAAAAGGGAGCAAACTTTTTGGCTCTTTGCATTTTTCCATCTATTGGAAAATACATTTTTGAAAATCTTGGTAGATCCTAACAGTGTGGAGATGGGCAGATCTGTCACCACCTGTCATTCATTTAAGGGATCTGCTTTTCTATAACCACCCTAAGTGGCTTTTTAAAATGCATTTCAGTAGCCATAGAAGTCACACCAGATAAAACTGACAAAAATGACTCATAAAATGAGAATCTACTCTACTGTAATTTTAACATTTGTAACAGTTTATATTGATATTTATATACTTAGGTTGAAAAAAAGAACACTAGGCCATTTATTTCAGCCTACAGAAAACATCTTTTTAAATATTACAAAACCAGAAGCCAGCTGTACTAAAATGGAAAAAATAATTTTTACCTGTACTACTTGCCTTCAATTTGGGACTGCCCACACCTTCCCCAGTGTAACAGTAAGGACTGCCTGCTACTGCTGCTGAAGGAGAGGGGGAAAGACCTGTAACATTATTGAGCTGGTTGTGG